CCCCCGCACCCCCGCACCTCGTCGCGCCCTGGCTGCACCCGCCCCGAGAAAAATAAAACAGAGCAAAAACCCCACTCGTTTTGTTTTATCGGATCTGATGAATAGCGTTTCTCCAAGCGGAGTGTATGCAAACATCGCRGTCCTCGCAGAGCAAACGGCCACAAGAAAACTCGGACCATCTTCTGTCCCGTGTCGTGTTGATAAAGTTTTATGCAGAGAGGGTGATAAAGCAAGAGCCGTGCATAGGCATGGTGTAGATGCTTCACCTACTGACATTTCCAGAATGGGATATACACACCCTTGCTCAGAAATGGCTTAAAATACATTGTGCTATTTTTAAATAATATCCTCCTCTGTCTATGGCAAACCTTGCTGCTGTAAATGGAAGTGACATGACTAAAGGCAGACCGGGAAGGCACAAGATCCAAATTACTCTGCTTACAACTAGCGTAAAATGTGATATGGGCACTTGTCTATTTAGGAATAGCATCAGTATCACCAGATACAAAATAAATGTACTCAAAATTATAAAAGCTGTTAAAGTTCAGATGAAGCTGGGAACAGGAGAAATATTTTGAAATTACTCCAGTACAGATAGGGTTGAAAATCATGATCCCATTCATGACTGCAATAGATTCACAGGCAGAGCAATTAACTGTAATATCACGGATGGTTATGACTTAAAGTGAAGAATAAGTAACATGAGCAGATGGACGCTTAAAATACCCTGTGTTCACAAGAACGGAAAAACAGGAAAGAAGACTGGGAGAAATGGGCTATTGAAACAATACAGCCTTCAGAGGAAACAGTCTTTAAAATATTCTACAGGATTTCTTCAGGCTTGTGCACGCTGTGAGTTCACTTTTTGTTGAGGTGCACCAGCATGGCTCTTATGTGGCAGTTTTAGTGTAGGTGAAAAAAATTACATTTTGCTCCGATTTCTTATGTTCAACCCCAGAKATAAAAGAACAGAGGCAAGGTGTGAAATCAGTACCAATTTCCAGTAAAAAGGCCATTTTGACAAAATAGCTGTTATACAGAAAGAATAAATGCACAGGTATAACATTAAGGTGACAGCAGAGTCAACGTGATTCTTTTGACACGGAGGAGTTCAGTGATCAATAGGAAATGGGAGGGGACTGCTCTGGGACTCTGAGTGGAATTTGTGTGTGATGGCAGGGTGGGAATTTGTGTGTGATGGCAGGGTGGGAACCTGTGAGAAGCAGAAATGAAAGCAAAACCTGAGAGAGAAGTGGAGATGGGGAAAAAAGCTCTCTCACCCCCCTGTCTGGAAACCCCTGAGACATATCATAATGTGCTGTGTGCCTGTGCCACCTACTGCATGCTTTGTTCCCAGGAGACATCTGCAGTTTCTTTTCCAGAGCTGCCTCATGTCATAGGGTCATCATGAACACTAAACCGGGTCCAACTCTGGGGCCCCCAATGTGAGGACATGGATCTGACAGAGCCAGTCCAGAGGAGGGCACGAAGATGATCAGAGCGCTGGAGCACCTCTGCTGTGARGAAAGGCTGAAAGAATTGGGGTTGTTCAGCCTGGAGAAGAAACCTTACAGTACCTTCCAGTAACTGACAAGGCCTACAAGAAAGTGGGAGAGGGAYTTTTGACAAGGGGATGTAATGATAAGATGAGGGGAAATGGCTTTAAACTGAAAGAGGYAGGTATAGATTAGAGACCAGGAGGAAATTCTTCTCATTGAGTGTGGTGAGACACTGGAACAGGTTGGTCAGAGAAACTGTAGGTGCCTTATCTCTGTAGTGTTCAAGGTCAGAGTGGATGGGACTTTGAATAATTTCATCTCGTGAAAGATGTCCCTGCCCACGGGAGGGGGTTGGAGCTAAGTGAT